CATTGGCCGTGTGGGCTCCAGCCCTTCTTTTTTTTTTTTTTTTTAAAGAATTATTTTATTTAATTTTATTTATTACCATTATTATTCTTTACTTTGATGAGGCAGAGAGAGGGAAAGTGGGAAAGCAAGCCACCAGGACCAGGACTCGAACCGTGGAGGATCATGTGGGAGCCCAGTGCCTTAACCATCGCGCCACCTACTGGCCCCAAGGCTCCAGCACTTCTAACCCCTACACCACTTGCTGGCCCTAAGAGCATATTTTTGTATAGAGGAATTTGAAATCTGTGCATGGTCTTTTCTTTCTTTCCTTTTTTTTTTTCCCTCTCTCTTTTTCTTATTTTGAGAGGTTTTTGCTACAGGGGGCGTGTGCTTGCCTGAAAGACAGAAACAGACAGACAGCAAGAAATCACCCCCCAGGGGGGATGGCCACGCCACAATCCCTTTTCCTCTATTCTCCTCTTGGGGTCTTGGGCACGCATGCACACGTGCCCAGTGTGAGTTTAAGCAACTGGGTTCAGGACTCAAACCACCGTCAACTACGTGGGAGTCCAGTGGCATAGCCATTACACCAACTGCTGGTCCCTTTTCGTTTTTTAAGAGAAATTTTTGTTATACACTGTGTGTGCTTACCCGTGAGAGAGACGGGGGGACGGCCACGCCATCGTCCCCTCCACGCCATAGTCCCTTCTCCATTGTCTTCTCGGGGTCTTGGGCGTGCACACGCACATGCCCAGTGTGAGTTTGAAGCCACTGGGTCTGGGACTCGAACCCTGGTCAGCCATGTGGGAGCCCAGCAATGTAGCCATCACACTGTCGTCTGGTCCCTGTGCATAGTCTTCACTGTACACATCATCTGAACTTTTTGAAGACCCCTCGTATATGTTCACCTGGCAGTGTCCCCTTGACCCCGGAGGACCCGGGGCTACTTCCCTGGGTGGACGTGGCTTCTGGAATTGCGCAGGAGTGCTGCCGAGGAGGCCCCCCCCTCCGTGCCCTCGGACCTGCTGAGCAGCCGGGACGGGCGGCACGCCTTCTCCTCTGCCCTCCTACAGGGAACTTTTCTGTTGTTCAAACACTGTGCCTGCCCTTCCCCCCAGCCTGGACCTGTACCGCGCCTCGGGGAAGTTCGAGCTGCTCGACAGGATCCTCCCCAAGCTGCGAGCCACCAACCACAAGGTGCTGCTCTTCTGCCAGATGACCTCGCTCATGACCATCATGGAAGATTACTTCGCATATCGCGGCTTTAAATACCTCAGGCTCGACGGTGAGTGCGCGGCAAGGGCCCTGCCCAAGGGGCTGCTTGTCCACGGCCACACGTGCCTTCCCGCGTGCACGCCACAACCCCAGGACGCCAGGGCCAGCGCAGGCGCTCAGGGTTGGCACAGAGGCCAGGCTCTACAGGAGAGGTGGCTGGAGCAGAGGCTGGAGCTCCAGGGCACAGGCTGATGGGTGTCCCCTGCAATTCAGGGTTCCCTGGGGAATGGTGCCCAGCAGTTCCGATTTAGTTGTAAGTGACAGAAACCTACACCCCATACCATGTGGGCATAAGGAGTAAAATAAAGTTGGGGCTGCCGGCCGGTGGCGTGATGGTTAAGGGCACCGAACTCCCACATGGCAGACCATGATTCGAGTCCCGGACCTGGTGTCTTGTTTTCTTATTTTCCTTTTCTCTTTCTTCGAATGGTGCCCAGCAGTTCCGATTTAGTTGTAAGTGACAGAAACCTACACCCCATACCATGTGGGCATAAGGAGTAAAATAAAGTTGGGGCTGCCGGCCGGTGGCGTGATGGTTAAGGGCACCGAACTCCCACATGGCAGACCATGATTCGAGTCCCGGACCTGGTGTCTTGTTTTCTTATTTTCCTTTTCTCTTTCTTCCACACACACTGTCTTGTTTTCTTATTTTCCTTTTCTCTTTCCTCCACACACACGCACTCTCTCTCTCTCTCTATCCCTCTCTGGTCAAATTAAAATGGATTAATTAAAGTTAAACGAAATAATTATTTAAAAAACACGCCAGTAGACTCACGTGATGGAAATGAACTTCAGGCATAGCTGGATCCAGCTGCACGGATGATACTGGAGGAGCCTTACTTCAGCTCTTAGCTCCACTTGCCTCTTCCCTGGCCTCATCCTCAGATATCCCTTCCGGGCTTCCTTCCACCTGCTCAGTGTCCCATAGGGAGGCACCCTGCCTTAGCGCACAGAGGCCCGGGGCTGGCTGTCGTCAGCCGCTGTGCAACAAGCTCACCCCTGCACTCTCGTAGCTGCTGGCCAGCTGCGGCCGTATCACAGGTCAGGCGTGGAGCTGGACTGCGGCTCAGCCCCGAGTCCTGGGGGAGAAGGAGCGGATGCCCCGCCCCGCACCAGCTGCCGCAGGGAGGCCCTTGGCCTGACCCCGTGTCCCGCCGTCCCCATGGGCGGTCACTGGTGTTTCTGCCTCTCCCAGCACCTCAGCGCTCTCTGGCGGAGGAGCCTGTGAGACGCCAGCAGCCCTGGGACACATGGACAGCGGTCCCTGCGGTCAGGAAGGCCTAGAGCGTGTCCTAACCTCTGTCGGCCTGGGGGCATGCGGGGTGTTGACGGGCTGTGGCCTCAGGTAGTCTCTCCCTCCCGGCAGGACTGCTCAGAGTCTTATCGTAGCCCTGTTCACGGTGCCGAGGCACCACGACTCCCCAGGCCTCAGGCCCTCCTTCCCGAGCTGCTCGAGGGAATGGGATTGCATGGGGCACAGGTCTGTGGGCACTGGGCTGCTCAGTCTGCCTATCTCTGTGGGCCCCAGGAGAGTGCCCCACGTGCCCAGCTGGCCTTCAGCCCCGCCTTGAGTCCTGTCCGGGGCCGCCTTTACAGAGTGCCAGTAGGGACTTCTGGGACCAGCAGTTAGTATAATGGCTATGTGGCTGGACTCCCATGTAGTTGACTGTGGTTCAAGTCCTGGACCAGTGGCTTAAACTCACGCCGGGCGTGTGTGCGTGTATGCGTGTATGCCCAAGATTCCAAGAGGAGAAGGGATTGTGGCGTGGCCATCCCCTCTGGGGGGTGATTTCTCGCTTTCTGTCTCTCTGTCTCTTTCTGGCGAGCGCCCGTGCCCAATAAGAAATCAAAACAAAAAAAACCTCTCCAAAGAAAGAGAAGAGAAAGATAGGACTTGGTCTCCGAGGCCTGGGCCCTCCCCGCTGCTGTGGGGCTGAGAACCAACCCCGTGGCCTGCGTGCTGGACTCACCTGGGCCCTCGCTCTGTGCTGCGGCCTCTGTGTTGGGCCTTCCTTACGTGGACCCAGTGCTCCTGCCCTGTCCTGTCCACATCCCCATCCCGATGCCCCAGCTGAGGCCGCGGATGGGGAGCCCTGTTCCCCCCTGCCCCACGCCCATCCCGCTGCTGTGGGGCTGAGAACCAACCCCGTGGCCTGCGTGCTGGACTCACCTGGGCCCTCGCTCTGTGCTGCGGCCTCTGTGTTGGGCCTTCCTTACGTGGACCCAGTGCTCCTGCCCTGTCCTGTCCACATCCCCATCCCGATGCCCCAGCTGAGGCCGCGGATGGGGAGCCCTGTTCCCCCCTGCCCCACGCCCATCCTGTCCCCGCCCCCCGCATGTTCCTTCTCTCCTTGACACCTTCTAAGGCTGCAGGGCTCTGCTCTTTGGCCCTCCGTGGTCTCTGCCACGTGGGAAGAGATGGTCTTGGGTTTTGTCCGTATTTTTTATTTCCGTTGGGGAGAAGTGTTTACCGTCAGGTTTATTTTTGCTAAGATACAGTCCTTGTACGTGGTTGTGGGGAGCGGTGTGGGTCTTAGTACAAGAATCTAGTGTGCGCCGGTTCAATCGGAGTGTTTCGGTGGCCGTGGGTGACGACTGTCGGCGTGTCCCAGAGCCCCCGTGTGGCTAGTTACTCTGGGATACGCGGTGCGTTGCTGGCCACGCCTGCCCTCTGTGTTTTCATGCTGGAATTTGATTTTTTCCTGTGTCGAGGTCCTCCGGCCCTGGCCTCCCCGTTAGCTATGACCCCCACCCCATCGTCTTTGGGGTGGGCGAGAGCTGAACCCAGACTCGGTAGCGGCACCTCCCAGCTGCACTACCACAGGTGCCCGGTGTGACATCCTGTCAGCGTGACAAGTGGCGGGTTCCGACTGGCAGCAAGGGACGGGGGAAGGCCCTCGGTGCTGCTCTGAGCACCAGGCTTGGGCGCCGGCCTCTCGTGCCCAGTCCCGGGCTGGCGAGGGCGGCCCTCGGAGCCTCCCTGGCTCCTCTGCAGGGCTCATTCCCCGGGGGCGCCTCCTGAGCTCCGAAGGCAGGCTCTGGCTCTCCAGCCAGTGTCACCCCTAACCCGTCCACTCTGAGGTCCCACCTGTGTTTCCGGGCACGTGGCAGCAGCGGCCTTGGCCACTGTGTCTCCTTCATCCCGTGGGACAGCGGGAGGAGACTCGGAGAGCCACCTGCAGGGCCAGCCCCTCCAGCCCCGCTGTGTCTAGTTCTCTGGGAGGTCCGTTGGACACAATGCTGCCAGCCCGTGGGCACAGGTGGCCTGTTTTCACCCACCGGGATGGGAGGTGGCAGTCGGTGGTGACCTCCAGTTCAGAGCTATGACTAGGCACCCCTCGGGGGCTGAAGTGCTCACAGAGGCAGGCGTTCCAGGGGCCCCTCACCCCTGCGTTTCCCCGCTGACCTGTTCTCCTGTGGCCCCAGGAACCACGAAGGCGGAGGACCGGGGCATGCTGCTGAAAACCTTCAACGAGCCCGGCTCCGAGTACTTCATCTTCCTGCTCAGCACCCGGGCCGGCGGGCTCGGCCTGAACCTGCAGTCGGCCGACACTGTGATCATCTTCGACAGCGACTGGAACCCGCACCAGGTAGAGCAGGCCTGGCCCTGGGCTGTCCTCCGGGCCCTGTTGTTAGGCCCTGTGTGCAGTGTCCCGGCTCCTGTCAGCGCCCTCTCTGCAGTGTCCCCCTTTCCTGGGCCCACGCAGCCTGGCGGAGTCGTCCTCCACGTCTCCAGTGGAGACAGCCTTTCCCCATTGTGAAGTCAGTGTCGTCCATCTTTTAAAACTGTGTTTCTTGGGACCAGCAGTTGGTGCGTAATGGCTATGTCGCTGGACTCCCATGTAGTTGACTGCGGTTCGAGTCCCGGACCCAGTGGCTTAAACTCACGCCAGGCACATGTGTGTGTGTGCCCCAGATCCCGAGAGGAGAATGGAGAAGGGATTGCAGCGTGACCATCCCTCCTGGGCGGTTATTTCTTGCTTTCTGTCTCTCTCCGTCTTTCTGGCGAGCGCATATGCCCTACAGCAAAAAACCTCTTGCTTTCTGTCTCGCTCCGTCTTTCTGGCGAGCGCATATGCCCTACAGCAAAAAACCTCGCAAAAAAAAAAAAAAAGAATAAAAAAATCCTCATGTTTTGATTTTGCCAGAGGGGCATGTGTGCTTGGCCGAGAGGGACACAGCGATGCGTAGAAGGGACAGAGTGTGAGCGCTCCCCGTGGGTGTGAGCGCTCCCCGTGGGGCACGGTCACAGTGCAGGCTCTCCTCCTCCACCTCTGTTCCGTCAGGACTTGGGGCACGCACAGCCCACACCTGGCACGGTTTTCAAGCCTCTGGGTCGGGACCCAGACCGTGCACCCGTCCTTGTGGGGCCCAGCTGCTTTAACCACCGTGCCATGGGCCGGCCCCGCCACGGTTTTTTACAGAC